TGCCCCGTGGCAGCGGTTTCTCTGCTAGCCATCATTCCCGTGAACTCCAGGCTAACTCCAACAAGTTGCTCCCTTCTCTGAAGCCTGATGAATCCTCACACTCCTTCCCCACGCTTTGAAATGGGGATGGCGGGCGGCCTCAGGCCCACAGGCCATGCCCACAAACCACCTTACAGTCAAATGGTGCTTGTCCTTAAGCCAACTTAAGTCCTAAGGTCATCATACTTACTATACCAACTAAATACCCGCTCATGGGACCCTGAGGGGAGCGGAGAGCAAAGGCACACACCTCTTACTCAGGCCTTCGGTGCAAGGCTGAATTTAATTCATGGTAAAAATGTTATATTCTTCTCTTCGGAAGCAAAGCTGACACTACTAAAGTTTCAATAAACTAAGACCTGCAAGATAGTGCAGCTTAACAACATAAGGGCAAAAATGAGTCGTCATTTGAAAACGTAATAAAATCTGTCTGGCAGCATAAATGTTAACATTGCAGCAAAACATTTCTGCAAAAACATTTCTGCTTTGATCTCACAGCTGATGGAGGCACTGTCAGCACTAATGAGATCATGACTACATGGGTAATTAACTTGTATTCCCTTAGCAAAACAGCAAACAATTGCACTGCTAGAAATGTGAGGGACTGACACCAAGCGTAATTGGAAAAAGAAGGAAAAAGCAGAGCTGTGTCCAGATCCAATAGACATTTCCCCTTGGGCTGTCCCCTGAACTCAAGATGCATATAATGCAGTGCTCTCAGACGTGCTTAAAAAGGTCTTGCCAGCAAGGCTGGCTCAGTAGCATGTTCACAAGCAGAAGGTACTATGTATGCTGGACAACTGTGTGTTTGCGCAGATACATAAAGCTCGAGTGCTACAGTAATCATAATAATCAGTGATACACAGCCTGCTTTTTGTCAGCTGAACTGCTGCTGAGCGCAGACTGAAAGGATAGGTCTCTGTGAAAACCCGCCCTAGCTGGGCCACTGGCCACGTTACTCACTGTGGTAGTTTTCCAGAGGTCTAGCACACCCCTACAGAGTGGGATGTATGTGCATGCATACAACAGTATGATTTCAGATTTCTTTTAAAGTCTGAATCTTAATGTTTTTTCTAGAATCTGATTTTGATTAGCAGAGTAAAGGTCTTGCTAATTTAATAGAGAAAATAACTTTGCCATTAAACATTTGCAAAGAACAGAGCATTTAATTGTGCAGCAATGCTGTGTGCATCCAGCCATTTGAGTCAGGTTGTGCAGGATGCATGTTTTGTGTATCCCACACACAATACACCGCATAGCACCACAGCTTTGGAAATCACACCTAAAGTCAATGACTGCACTCCACAGGGTTTATTAATACCACCTCAGAAAGTGAGAGGGTGCTCTGGCTTTAGCAAGAGCTCTCTATAATTGTTCCAAGTACTTCAGGTCCAGGAATCAAGCTTCAGAGCCTTTTCTCAGTGTATGACATTCACCCTGGTGACACTCAAGTAGCATGCTGCTGAAGGACAGCTGGGGCACATCTATATTTGTTCCATTGCTCATTGCTGGCATGTCTCTATCTGAGCAAAGAGGCAGTCTAGGGTTACAGCCATGTCTTCCAACTGCAGTCATATGAAAGTGGCAGGGAATTGCTTTCGTGTGAATTAATTGTTACTAGGGGAAATAAATGTGAAGTTTGATGCCATCTGAGCTATCAGAAGAATTTATGATGTCTTAAGATAGAAGGCAAGTTCTTAGGTAGTAACATTCTTTGCTATATATTTTTGATAACTGATGGTTACTGACTTGAACATTCTTCATTGTAATTGTATCTGTGCCTGTAAACTGAGCAATCATCTGAAAATCTTATTTAGGCAGCAGGGTTCCAGACGAGCTTAATTATGCTAATTTAAATTTATGTAATTTAATTTCATTTTAGTGGGAAAAATGCTCGTTAATTCACTTCTGTAGTTAGTAGTAGCTTCTAAAGCAAGCCTTATTGTTATAACTATGGAGAAAAAAGTTTTCGTGGGGGCCAGAGAACTTTTCCTGGTATGTGTCAAGACCTTTTCTCTGTTTAATATGCTAGAATTTGCATGACTTATTTTATGCCTTTAGTATAAATACGATTTCTGCCTAAGTTCAGTGGTTTTGTCTACAGTAAGATATTGCTGGCTGTAGAATGCACACCCATGTCTGCAGTGCCACAAGACAAACAGTGAGCTTCTGTGTGTGTTTTCTTACCGATCCAGCAGGCTGGACTGTTTTCAGCCATTGGTATGAAACCAGAGAGTGGGAAGTTTCTTAGCATTTTCCACCAGTTTAAGAAGTCACTTTCTAATAAGTCATTGACTGTGTTGACTTTGTTAGCCCAGTAATCCTCTGGAATATTGGCAACATATTGATGAAATTAATTTGATAGCAAGTACTCAGAACTACAAAGACCATAAAAAGTAGTTTGAAAGCAAAGCTTATGTGAAAGCTTCTGCAGAAGCTCTGATAACCTCAATCAATGGCTGACCTTTTGTATTTTTTCTGTGCGAAAATGGTTTTAAAGTTTGTATATACTTCACTTAACTAGGACTAGGTGTAACTGGAGATTCATTAATATTCAGCTGAAATATTGCCATGAACCCTTTTGCTTGTAGTAGTAAACTGCTGATGAAATTGACCTGACTAGTTTTGTGGCGTGATTTTGTTTGTGCTGGTGAGCAGTGGAGGGCTGCGGGGACTTTGCAGCTCTGACTGAGATCTCTCTCTCTCCTCACATTATTCCATGTGCTGCTGTTAATACAGTCTGGGTAGAAAGAGGAGTCAGCATTAAAATTGCTTTGCCTTTAAGGTTCATGTGTGTGCACCTACTTTATCATATAGCTTTGCATTTCACTTCCATGTGCTTTTTTTTCCACACACCTCCCACATTGCACAGAATGGACAAAGTGTGCAAGCTCCAGGTCAGAGCAGACTTCTCTCAATTCAGGGATCAGTGATGCACCTTGCTTCCTCATTACTGTATGCTTTATCATGGAGATCATCATCAATCTTTTTTCTGAGCTTCATCTATGTTAAAACATGTAGTTTCACAGCACCTGAGAGCCCCCAAAGGGCAGTATTTTTCCTTGTTTTATAGAAAGGACCCAAGACCTGGACTGAGAGTAATGTTAAAAGAAACCTCAAGTTTCAGTATCAAGAATGGCAACTTGAAAAATTCAGAACAGGATTTTTCAGTGCATTTCCTAGCGTGTTATGTGGCATCAGTGGTTAAAGAGAGGGCATCCTGCAGTATGCCTAAGTGATGGTTCAGCAAGAGCACTTGACAGCAGCTGAAGGGTAAGCAGACTTCAAACCAGGCCACCTCCAGCTGTACAGAACAGCACTAAGTGCGCGTGAAGCATAGTTGCACTGTTGAGCTGAGAACAGGAATACCCTACAGTTTGGAAATCAGACATCAGGATCACAGATGAGCCACCCAGAAAACATAGGATGCACACTAGAGACAGCTCTCTGCTGTGCTTTGCATGGACATGAGAAAAAACAAGCTTCCTGTGGCTTCCCTCTGGAAGCCAGTTTTGGTCTTTCCCATGTCTACCTCCAGGCCCTGAGCAGTCCCCAGCCAAACTTATACCATCCATGTATTTTGAAGCAAGAAAAACTCATGTTTGATATCTGAGTCTGTAGCTAAAGATCTTTCTTATCTTTTACAGGATTGAGACTTGTCATCTCAAAAGCCTTGCTGAGGATACCAATGTCATCCAGATCTGGCAGCAAAAGGGAGTATGAAACTAGTGACCAGTCAACTGGTCGTTCAGCATCCCCACCAGTCCCAGAGTCTAGTAAGATTGAGGCTGGAGGCTTGATATTTTATCACATGGATCTTTACGGCTCAAAGGAGAGGTTTGATATCTTTCCTGAAGAGCTATCTGGTCAAGGAGAAAGATCTCTGGGGGATACAAGAGAATCTGCATTGAGTAGTGAAAAATTTCCGCACTCACAAGAAGCTGGATATGACTTGGAAAAGGAGGTTGCAGAATTGGCTAAGATGTATGGACTCGATGAGGATAGAGAAAAAGAGCTTGAGCTTCTTGGAGGACATCCAGAGGTGGCGGAGAGCAGGTGGCCACCTGCTCGCACAGAAAAGGCAAGATCACAACGCTCCGTGTATAATGCACCAAAAAGCAGCTCTTCAGTGAAAGATCAAAGTCAAAGCACAAACCTTCGGGGACTTCCTGATGAGGTTTCTCAAGATGAAGATGAGAGCAAAGCCAGAGCAGAAGATGAGGCCAAGAGTCCCATACGGTCCGGAGAGGGGCTCAGCAGCAGCGGCATTTCAGATGAGTGGAACAGTCAGGCTGCCAGCGAGGAGGAGGAATCAGGGGATGTTTTTTGTTCTACCTGCAAGATGCCAATCCGAGCTTTTGACAAACTGTTTGGTGAGCACAAGGATCACGAGGTGACTAAGCTCCCCAGTGCCATGGAAAGCGAAAAGGTAAGAGTAATACAAGTGTACTGCAGTGCCTCTGTAACGGTGTTCAGACATACTAAGAATCGTGCTGGCTGTTTTCGTAGGAGGAGATTCATAAGAACATGCGCAAGTTGGAAGAGCAGATTGCTCAGATGGAAAACTTTGCCAGTCACTTGGAGGAAATCTTCATCACTGTAGAGGTAAGACTTTTTTTCTCAGGCTAACACTGGTACTGGGTTTAAAAACGTTTTGACAATCATAGTGTTGTTAATGAGGTAAGTAGTTACAGTGACAGAGCACAGAGTTACCTTGGGTTTGCCTAGACTGAAGTACTCAGGAAAATTCATCCTAATGAATTTTTTAACTGGGCTGGTAAAACCACACTAAGCATTTGCACAGACACTTGCATTCAGAAATAAAGGGGAGCCCTGCTCAGGTCATCTGTTTTAAATGGCCAAGGACCTGTGACCTGACTAGTCCATCCAGAGTCTACCCCTTGCATCCACTTGGTTACATTGACAGACGTGCCAGGTGTAGGCAAACCCTTGGAGCACCTTCATTGAGCTACAACACTTCAGTGGTTGTGCTCCTGCTGTTGATGTCAACTTGGCCATCGGGGCAGGGTCCCAGCCGGCTGCAAGTCAAACTGAAGTAGTAACTCAAGGCACCTACTGTCTTTTCTCTGCCGCATTTGGCACAGGACATCGGTGTCTGAGCAGTAGGCAGCTGCTGACAATAAAACCTTGCCTGCTCCTTAAATCTTTCTTCTAATGCTTTCTCCAGCAGCAAGTGAGGATACCAGCATCAGCTGCTCAACTCCCCCAATGCGAATCCATGGATCCCACTGGGTTGCCATGGTTTCTCTCATGGAAGGATGTGCTTGGCTGTGTTGGTGGAAACACTTGGGAGATTATGGCGAGGATATATCCCTACTTGTGCTCCCTTGGGCTTAGGTTCAAGACAGTTGCCTTGCATAATTTTTTAAATTATAATCTCTGATGCTCTTACGCTTGGAATCAAATCCAGCACCCTCCTGTGCCTCAGTGGGGGGTGAATAATTAGAATAACCCCCTAAAAATGCAAATTAGTCAAATTACAGCTTCTGTGCACTGGCATTGCCTCCCCGATGAGGAGGATTTTAGGCAGACCTGAGTAAGATTTTTCTCAGGCCTGACACCAAGGAACAAACCTCCAAATGCCTTTCAGGAAAACTTCGGAAGGCAGGAGGAGAACTTCGAGGTGCATTACAACGATGCAGTGCAAGTGCTTGCTCAGAAGTATGAAGAACAGTTGGAAGCACTGGGGGAAGAGAAAAGGCAGAAGCTGGAAGTGTTATATGGGCAGCTGGTCAGTTGTGGGGAACATCTTGACACCTGCAAGGAGCTGACAGACACAACCCAGGAGCTTTACCTGGAAAACAACAAAGCCAATTTTATGAAGGTAAAGAGCTTTAACTGTCAAGGCCTGTTCTAATTGCTGTTTGCTGATTGCAAGTAGTCCCCAGCTGGAAAGCCACAAATGGCTTTATGCTAAAGGGCATTTGGGGTGCCTGATCCACAGTGCTGTCATTGGCCCAGGTGCTTGGCATGATGGCACTGACTTAGTGGGGCAACAAAACGGGACCAAAATGCAGATGCAGCAGCAGAAGTTTGTAATGTGGATGCTCAATGATATGTGAGTCTCACTGGGGTTCAGAGAGAAGATAGCTCATTAAAAGGCTTATCTCAGGATACTCCGGAGGCATTTAGTGTTCGTTGCCTCCTGCAGGCTCAGCTCTCTTTCTCTGTTCTGGGCTCACAGCAGGCAGGCTGATGCAACCACTTCAGAAGATGTTTCTTTTTCTTGCTCATTTTGTTGGAAAGTTCAGCTGAACAGGAGGCTTCAAACTAATGGCATAAGGAGCTCCTGCAAAGTGGTGGGTGAATCCCACTGTTGAGGAGATTCGAGAAGTTATTTTTCTTTAGCAGGTAGAAAAATAATTGCAAAAAAGAAAAAAAAAAAAAGAAAATATTTCACCACTGATGAGTGGTTGCTCTAACCTGAGCTGTCCTGTGACTCAGGTGGGTGGGAGTGTTTCTATAGCACAGCCACAATAACTTCTGAACCAGACAGTAAAACAAATCTCCTAACACCTCCAGTCTGCTCTAGTGGAGCAGCTTGCTGTGTCACTCCATCCTGTGAGTTCTTCATATGAGCTGACTTTTCCCATTCCTCCGCATCTTCGGAATAACCTTATTTTCTCCTTAGCTCATGAACAGTTCAACATCACCCCTAGGAACCATTATTCACCAAGAAGTGAATGGTTCTTGGTCATGAGCTCTCAGGTGCTTAGATTTCTCCAGGGATGATACATCTGTCTTCCAGTAACAGTCACTGCTCAGATGCAGACAACTAAGTTCTTTTCCCAAGGTGCTGGTTTTGTTTGTGAAGGGTCTATTGGCACTGTGGACAACTGAGGAAGGATACAACCTAGATGAGTAAACACTGGTCACTGCTCGATGCTGCACGTTATCTTACTGTAAATTCAGCCAAGATCTCTCCATGTGAATGGACAGTTAGGCACAGCTTTGTTCTCAGAGCTGGGTGAGAGCCAGTTAGTTCACTCTGAGGGCAGCATTTGGGACAATTCATGTAAGACAGATCAACAGCATGATATAGTCTGACTCTGGACTAATGCAAGGAATGTATCTTTTCTATCTTTAACACATTCTCTCTCTTTTTTCTACAGGCAGCAATAACCATGGTTGACAGGTAGTATCACACTCTGGGATTTTGTCTCACATTTCTTCCTACTAATGGGACCTGTTATTGGAGACACTTGCATGTTCTGGACTCTGTTCAGGCACACAGATGTTACCTAAGCTACTAGAGCTATTGAAATCGTTAGTATTTCTGGTTTAAACTGCAGCAGGAAAGGTTGCTCTGAGAAGTTTAACAATCAAAAGTAGTTTTGAGCTAATTTAAAAAAAACAAAACCAAAACCCAGAAGTAGAGTTAGAGCATGAATAAATCACTGTTTATAGCTTGGTCGTGAGGAACTAATTTCAGTGGCTGAGATTGCTAAAGATCTTGAAAGAAATGCTCTGGATACAAATCTGACTAAAACTGAGCTCCCTAAACTGATTAGTAGCAAGCTTATATATGCATTAATATAGAGGGGTAGAAAGTCAAGCTGTGGGAGCTCAAAACAAATACTGAAAGAACTTGGAGCAAGTAGTCTTAAAACACACTAAATCAAGTGGAAAAAAATATTTGAATTGTCTGTCATCATTTATGAAAACACAGAGAAAAGATACCCCTTTGTTTCAAATTTACAGCACCTCAAATCGAGAGATCCTGAATTAATAATAGTGATGTAAATTCAAAATAATGAAAGTCATGGAGCTAATGACTTGCTTCCCATAGAGGGGTGCTGGGGAAGTCTCCCTCAGCTGCTGAGTGGGAGCACAAGGACCATGGGAGACTGAGCTTTGTACAACTACAACAACATGATTTTAAGGAAATAGCAGTTATTTTAGAGTTTGCTGTCCTTTCCTCTTACCAATAGATATCACAGAAAGGTCTGTCCAACCCTACAGTACTTCCAATCAGACATATTTTTTTCCCTTACAGGCTGGAAGAATTCTTAAAGAAAGAAGTAGATTTAGAGCTTTCAACAGTGCCAAATTTCGAAGAGCGGGTCATAGATTTCTCTGAAGTTGAGCAACTAATGAACTCCATTAATATCATTCCAGGTACTCTTCCAGCTGATCATTATTTCAGACATGTAATTAAGGATATGTATTAAACAGAAGTCCATTACTTATTTGAAAGGAGAACTGCAAAAGCTGACTTAACATCTCCCTGGTTTTCCCTCCAGATTTTTTTGTTTGTTTATATAGGGAGAGACACTGGAATCTATTTTTGGATTCCCCACTCCCCCCAGTTTGTTTTCAGTATAAAATTACCAAAACTGCCAAGTTTGGCCTTGCCTGCTTTTGCTGGATGATTTCCTAGAAGACTCGCAAAGACTACCCCCTTCTGTTGAGGGGTGAGGCATCCTTTGTTGCCGATGACTTGTCTTACCTTGTAATTGCTTGAATAAAGTGTAGGAGGACACCAGACTGCTTTAAAAAACTTGCACAGCTTCTCTAGATAACCAGATTTCAGTGGCTTGTTCCTCTGCTATTTAGCAAACATTTTTCCTATTTATCCACACGAAACAGAGCAAAATCCAAACATATTTCTAATAACTAAAAAAAATACAAAATCTTTTCTGGCACAGCACAAATGGTCAGGAACAACAACATGCAACTTTTATGCCTTTACGTTGTGTTTTCTTAGAGTAAAATAGCATTTGTTACTTGTTTGCTTGTGCTGCTGACCCCATGTTGTACAGCTTTTCCCTCATCTTTCCTCCAGAGGCTCCTCAGCCGCTGGGCTGGTCCACAGCAGTGCTGTGCACGTCAGATGTTGCTCTGCAGCATACAGCAGCATTCAGAGACAGGCGAGGTCAAGAGGAGGGTTTGGCTGAGGCTTCTGTGTTTTGTTGTTTTGATTTGAAACAAGACTAATTCATACACCCGTGACCTGATTATTATCTACAAGTATTTACAGGGTCAGCTCCTCACTTTTCTCCATGTGGGAGCAATATGACCCTACTCGATGCCTTGAATACCTTTGTGAGAGGAGAGGTGTTTGCCTGTGAAGAACAGGCCATGCTTACACATTCAAAACCTGGACTGTTTTCCCCCCTGCAGCTCCTTGTGCCCCCGTGATCAATCCCCAGGCTCCCAATGCAGCAACTGGCACATCACTGAGAGTTTGCTGGAGCCTTTTCTCAGATGACACTGTCGAGTGCTACCAACTGTGCTATAAACCAGTGAACAATGAGAGGCACAGTGATGAACAAGCAGGTAAGGAGGCCTGGGCCCAAAGGGACATCTCAGCTCTCCACTGGCAAAACCAGCTGGTTCCGAAGTGCCTCTGGACTTGCTGTGGCAACCGGTATACTTTCCATTCACTCTCTCTGACACCAAACCTGTCGTATCTGCCAGCATGTTTCCCGTTTCTGGCTTTATCACTCTTCCCCTGCCAGGTCTGCCATGCTGCCAGCTGCAGCAGGACCCAGCACAGAAGCAATGACAGGATGGGGCAGCAGCTGGGATAGCAGGAGAGGGAAGGGGACAATGGATGGAGTCAGGTCTCAACAGCAGGATTTCCTTCCCTGGAGGGTGGGCGGTGTGTTAGACACACATGTGCTGCACCCACCGCAAAGCGCAGTATTTTTAGAGAGCAAATCATCATATTATCAGCATGTCACTGAAACCCCCACAGTCATTCTACAGTTTATCTCAGTGCTAATAATAGGCTGTAACTCCCCATCACCCCCACACACAGAAAAAGAACCACAGACCATCCTAAAATGCCCTACTGTTGTGACAAAAACGCCTTTGCTAATAATATCCTTGCAGACTGAAAACACCCAGTCACTTCAGCAGAAGTGGAAGCCAGCTGAGTGCCAAATGGCTGGTTCAGAAAGAAAATCTCATTAATGCATATAAATATCTCAAAGGCGGGTGCTGAGAGGATGGTGCCAGACTCTTTTCAATGGTGCCCAGTGACAGGATGAGGAGCATGAACTAAACCACAAGAAGTGTCACCTCAACATGAGGCAGAATTCTTTACGCTGGGGGTGGCAGAGCACTGGAACAGGCTGCCCAGGTGGTCTTGGAGTCTCTGGAGACGTTCAAAACCCACCTGGATGCATAACCTGCTGTAGGTGGCCCTGCCTTGGCAGGGGGTTGGACTGGATGATCTCCAGAAGTTCCTTCCAACCCTAATGATCCTGTGAAAAGCAGAACCTATTTGAATTTTATGATGAAGAATGAGAGATTAGTAGGGAATTAATTTCAGCTCTTGTCTCGCTGCTGGGATGAGGTAAGCTGAGCAGATCAGACCAGACCAGACCAGGCAGCATCCCTGGACTAGGAACAGGCAGGGTCTTTTCAGAAAGATCCAGTGGCGGGTGGGTGACCTTTCTTTCTGGGTTTTTTTCCTCTCTGAGTGACGTGGCTCCTTCAGAAGCTGCTGTGTTATCTGATTTATGCCTCCTTAGAGGAAGGCATGGTGAAGCAGCCTGACAGCTAATCGAAGGGTATGGAGCACAAAAAGCTTCCTTGAGCTTGGCAGACAAAACAATGCACCTCAGCTCCATTATTTGAGGCAGCTCTGGGGAGGAGTGGGTAACTCTGTAAAGGCACTGTAAATGTGGTGGTGTTCTCATTTCAGAGCATACGCTGAAAGTCAAAGAAACATACTGCACCATTTCTAATCTGCTGCCGAACACACAGTATGAATTTTGGGTCAGTGCTTTAAATGCCTCTGGTATCAGTCCACCAAGTGAAAGAACGGTTTATGTAACAGGTAAAAATATTTTATTCATACAATTGTGCAACCTTCACAGTGAAATTCACAGTCATCTCTGAATTTTATGCCAGTAGTTCTTTCTGGGCACTTTGTTTCTTCTGATCTAAGTCTATTGACTACATGGGCATTTCCTACTTTTATTTGGAGAGCCTATCAGGCCAATTGTTCCTGGTTTAGAACTGAAGAAACAGAAGCACAAAATAACTTATTTAAATACAAGCATGTAGCAGAGCTGGGAATAAGGCTCAAGTCTCCCAGTTCCGCCAGGTGGATGCCAGCTCTCCTTTTCTTGGCCTGTAAGTACTTTGTGTATTCACCTGCTATGCTGCCCTTTGTAACTGCAATTCAGTCAGGCATATTTTGTGAAATCGTGACACAGAGAGGTCAGAGTACCTGTTCCAGATGTCTTTGACATCTTGGAGAAGAGATGCACCCTTATGACAAAGATAAAAGCAATCATAGAAAGAAAATGATGATGTAATCAGGCTTGATCTATATTACTTCTCTGATTAATTCTCTTTGGGACCTTTATAGTCCAAATTAAGTCTTTAAATAGTACTGTTATCACCCTGCCTGCTGTTTATTGTCTATTGGAGAAACAGGTTTCTTGTAACTATACAGTATTAGTTAACAGCTTTGCTCTATCATTTAAGTCGTCAAAGCATGTTTGTTGCAAACATCTTCAAGCACCAGCTTAGAATTGTTCTTTTGCCTGCTTTTTAGCTCCTTCACCACCTACCATAAAGAGTAAAAAGATCCGAAGCTGTGAAAATGCAGCACTGGTGTGCTGGGAATCTGGAGACATCAACCCTGTTGATTCCTACACGGTTGAATTGTCCAAGCTGACAGATGAAGACAACGGCGATATTATTACTGAGTGAGTCACTATTCTATCTAGTCAATGACCTGCAGAGATTAAACCATTTCAAGTCATGTGGCATCAGATAGCATTAAGAAAGGATCCACGATCCTTTGATGAATCTACCTTTATAAACATTCCTCTTAGCAAAACTAATTGTGTAAATGTAAATTACTATACAGGGAATGGGAAAAGGGTAGAAGCAAATGCAAAAACCTGTATAGTCTGTCACAGGCTATCTGTTGCCCCCAGTACTGACAACCATACAAGGTAAAGTGTTGTTGATGGGTTACAAGAGATCATGTCATTTTTTCTTTGTTGTTCAGAAAAATAACCTCAAAGTCCCACCTTTGTTCTCTACCCTCTCATTTTCCCTCGACTTATTTTCTGTAGATCAATTGTGGGGATTCCTAACTGCGAAGTCCTAATTCACCTGCGGCCAACACAAAGCTATCACATCTGTGTCAGAGCCCTAAACCTGGGTGGTTCCAGTGAAAGAAGTGACCCTGTCCTGATACACACCACAGGTACTGTACAGTGCAGGACAAGTCCAGCAGCCTGTTGTAACATCTGTTATCTCAACAGAAAGATTCATACTGGCTTCAATGGCCTCTGGATCAGGTCCTAATGTCTTACATCTAACTACACATTTGGTAACCTTTTAGGAAAGAAAAAAACCCCACTTTTCATAACAGTAAGTGCATTGCTTTAGCTCTGTAATTTGTCCAGTACATTTGATGCTTGAAAGTTACTGAATTCTAAGCATTTTAAAAGACAGCACCCAACACCCAACCAGCAACCCAACCCAACCCCCCCAAGATATTGCCTGCTTGCCAAGCACTGACCCACCAATGAGGAAACTTGTAATGCAATTTTACTTTACTTCGGAGATTACCTTATAATGATGCTGTTACTGGAAAGCATGGCAGAGACAGCATCTTCCAGAGTCATTTAGATATGCAAAATCTTCCTCTGTATTTATTAGCATCTCCAGCATGGCTGGGGAAGCTGTGAGGGCTGTTTCCCTTTATTCACCAGGAAAAAGGCAGTCCAGCTTTCAGCTGGAAGCTTTGATTTAGTAACTGACATCGCATTTTCATTTCTGCTCTCAGCACCACACTGGACAAGATTTAACCTTCTCCCCAAAGAGAAGCTGGAAGCCCTTTCCCCTTTCAACCACCTAATGAAAGTTCATTTTAATGACTTATAGGTAGACACCTGTTTTCACCTTCACCACTGCAACTTCACTCACAGGTGGTTAACAACACACCTGGGTCTTTTTTGCCCTTACCTTCAGTGAATAATTTGCAAATTGTGCCTTTTCAGCAAGTTGACTGCACTCCCGTTGATCTGCAAAAAGCCACATTTCTATAAGAAACCTGCCTGCCACACAGCAGTGACACCACAGGAAAGTAACGGTCATTCTTAGAGCCCTGGAGAGGAAGTCTGTCATTGGGTTACCATTGTTTGTGTGGTTTTCAACTGCTTAAATCAAACTCAGTATTTGAAATTGCCAATTCTGCTTGCACAGCGTGTGTTTGTTTTCAGCAGCACATGCCCGTAATTGCCCTGTCATTGTTTGTATTGTATTTGCATTGAAGTAACTTGCAGTTTGATTATAATTATTTCATTTGGGATTAGCATGGAGAGATTTATCTTCTCTGAGTCTACATTATGCAAACAGCTGATGCAAATTGACCTGTCTGCTGCAAGTGCTCACCTCCAACACTGAGAATGACCTTTGGTTCTTACTGGGGTGGATACACAAACACCAACTACAAACAGCAGCAGTGACGCACGTGGCAGCGCATCAGAGCACAGTGCGTCAGACCTGCTTTGTGAACTCTCCAAAGGGGGAGAGGCAGAAGGACTTTCATCCTGGGCTGGCTTAGCTCACTCACTCACCTCTCTGAGGGCTCATCTGGTTAGGGGGTGCTGAAGCATAAGGCACACTGTATGTGGCACCTTTGTAGAGATCCTTCTCTTCAAACTGTGTCCAGCACTTTGTGGAAGAGTGAGACCATGGAGAGGTCTTTAAGCCACTTTTCCTTTCAGTGATTAAAAATAGATTACTTCATCTCTGAGGAAGATGACTTGAAACTGGACAGTTCATTGCAGGGACAACCCCTCATCTTTGACTAGCTACTTTCTGTGCAATGCCTGCAGCTTTGGGTTCCAAATCAGGTTAAGGCCCCTTTCTGCTTTTCACAAGGCTGCAACTAAACAGTGTTAAGCTGTAAAACACCCATTTACTTGAAAAACTCCAATGGACTTGTCTTGTCTTCTCAATGTCAGCCACAGGTTCCCTCCAGAGCACTGGTTAATCTTTTTGTGGACTCAAACGATATTTCACCACACTCTTGCTGTAAACCACAATGCCATAAAGGAGTTCCTGGAGTTGTCCTCATGCATTCTCTCTTGCAGGCACCTACTTCTGCCTTAACGAGGACACAGCCCATCCTTTGCTGGCGATCCTAGATGATGGATTTACAGTTGCATGCGATGAACTGGAAAACCCAGAGTGTGATCTGCCCGTCTATGACAACAGCTTTACAAGGTAAACAGAAGAATTTCAGTTGCAACCAATGCATGTGGCTTGTGGCTGCTTCACCTACAACACACCCCTGCCTTGAATTTAAATACACCAAAAAAGTTTACTGGTATTTCAGCTCTCCTCACCTTCAACCCAGGCACCAACCAAGTAGCACTTCTAGACTGTATGTGTGTGTGTGTAATGTATAGTGTTTTCTCCATCTTGGTTTTTGCATAAGTGGCTCTGATTGTCTTCAGTTTTAGACCACTGCAAACATCTTTATCAGTCCTTTAAAAATATGGGTTAGTCATCTTTTATAAAATCAGATTTATTTTAACGTATTTCAAGTTGGGCTCCTAAGGTAAGTTTGAAATGGTAGGCTTTCTCGTAAGTCCTCGAAGAGTAAAACCTTGCATCCGTTTCTTCAGGCCCCACAGATTCAATTGGGTTATTGTTCCTGGGCACCATCACTGAGCTTCCTCTGCCTTGCTGCTCTTTTCTGAGGATTTCTAGGGTGACTAATACATATTATTTACAGCATCTCCCTTTGCATGATGTGTGCACTGACTTCTGTTAAATTCCTAAACTTTCTTCCCATGTAAGTCTTTACAGAGCCCCAACCCCCCAGAAAAATGTCACATACTCATAAAAAAAATAAAATAAACTCCAGATACTCCTAATATAGCACTACTGGGATTTAAAAACAAAACAAAAAAGGCATAATTACTAGGTTCTTTTTTAATTACAGTGATCAGCACTTGCACACTTCCAAGACTTTAGGAGCTGCTCCTCTCTGCTGGCTATGGCTCCCTCTCTCCTGCCCCTTCTCTGCAAGCTGCCAAGGTGATAGAGCTTTCCACATCACGTGCAGGGGGCTCTGCCCCTCCTTCCTTGGTCTCGTTTTCACACGTGGAGATTTAAGTGTTGTTTTTATATAGCTCTGTCCAATGGAAACCACCAAACATTCATCTTACGTAAAAGTTTTTCACTACAGCAAATACTGCAGAGTGGGCAAAGAAACCTACTGGTGCTTTGGACACCAGACCCTCTTTGAAGGAGGCTTTTGCAGTACCAAGCACAGTTGATCTGTTTGGGTTTTTTAAATAGATGCCAGGAAGTGTCTAATAGGGCTTTTGGCAGCTGTCATTGATTCCATGAGTTTAAATCTCAGTCTCTCTCTAGCTGCTCTTTGAAACTTAAGCATCACTTGGAAGTTAATACAAGTTCATAAAGAGGATTAAAGATGCAGCCAGCTACAACTACATACAGACCTGCCTACACACGTTAGGCACATTGAGCTGAATTTGAACATGTATTTAAGTGCCAAAGCAAATGCTAAGGAAAGGAGAGAAATGTGAATACTTACCTCTTGCTGAAAGCTCTAGCTGATACTATTTGGGGCAACAACTTTTACTTTCCAAAACAGAATTAGGCCCTTTGCCATTGAAATGAGACTTAGCTTGCTGAAACGTGTGTTTCACAACATATAACCCGGACAGGCATTTGCAGACACAGAACGATACAAGCCCACAACTTAGTCTCTCAGTGGAAAAGCAATGTTACTAGAAGGCTCAGTAGAAAAGAGCCAGGAGGTAGATGATTCTCTTCATTAAAGTCACCATGATAAGCCTAAATGGGATTTCATCCCACTTCCACAGGGTGCTTTTATGTTTCACATAAACAGCCAGAGCTGGCACTCATCTCATTCTGAACTCTGAGGCTGTTTTTGATGCCACTAAGAACGTTCTGTATTATACAAAGATACTGTGAAAAAAGAAAGAAGAAAAAGCTCACAAGCTGAAAGGACTAACACACACTACAAGGAAATTAAATTGCAAACTCCTCTGAAGTTTGTGTGATCTCCAGAAGGCTGATGTGTTTCTTAACCACTGCAGCTCCTATGGTCTGACTCAGGCTTGCCACGGTGGCTTTGCAGCTCTCATTACTATGGTAATGTTTTGTTCACAGATGTTTACCCATCCATTTTGCATCATTCCTTTTCCTTCTCAAGCTGTAGCAACATAGACTTTCCGAGTCCTGATTACAGCAGCCTTTAAGCTATTCCCAAGACATCTACATGCACTTGCAGTGAACTGTACACTTGCTTTAAGCGACTGCTGGTGAGGTGGCAGAGTACCGCTATCTTGGTGTGCGTGCCCATCCTTACACATCAGGCCCCCCGAATGCTGGGTGCAGCTCTTTCTCAGAATTACCTAGAGGTAGATGAGCTCAGTGTCGGCGAGCAATATCCTTTGCCTTTGTAATTTACAACATTAGACCCGACCACAGAAACATACAGGTTGTGTGTGTGACCTCCTCATTCAAAACTGAAGGTGTGTTTTGAAACCTAATATCCCTGTGATGCAGCAGTGACAGCTAATACACTGTGTACTTCTCCCAAGAAAAAGCTGGCGTGTAGTCTTTCAGGATTCATGTTGCCTTCTTCATTCCAGTTAAGGTGTTTCAGAAGCATTTGGCAGGGGTTATTTTGCCCAACTTTCTTGCTTCGATCTGGTGTTTTTGCAAACTTTCATCTTCAAAGCACCCAGGTCCTTTAACTCTGAGACTGTGCCCGTAAACCAAGCTGAAAGGTCTCTCTCAGTGGCGTACTATCTCTCCTACACATCTTTTGAAAGTTAGTTTCTACATAGTTTCTATCATAAAGGCTAGGAACCACAGTCTACTGTTAAAACTTTTCATGTTCTCCTACTGTGTCCAAGTCCAGCATAGGCATCCGCCTCCCTAACTGCCCCAGGAGTTTCATGCTGTTGAAATGCTCAGTTCCTGATGGTGAGTGACATTTGTAGCCTTGGGCTGTTTGGGAAGAAAATACAAAATCGATAGCCTTTTTCCCCTGCTATACTGGGGGTCACCAGAGCACTCTCTTTTCTAGCAAGTAATAACTTTCCCAGAAAACCCAGGCAGCATAGGATGCTCTTCTCCCTGTTCCTAAAAGTGCCCTGGGTGCTCATTTATGCAGAGCTACCCACAGGTAAAAACAGGGCAGGTGTCACAAAGAAACCTGCAGGTTCTCTGTCAGATCCTCAGCACGCAGAGAGCCTTCCAGAGCACGCATCGCTGTCTGTCTCCCACAGGTGTATTGGGATCCTGGGCAGTCTGATTCCATTTCCAGGAAAGCATTACTGGGAGGTGGAAGTTGAGGAAGACACAGAGTATAGAATCGGCGTGGCTTTTGAAAACACTCCAAGACATGGTTATCTGGGGGCAAACAACTCGTCCTGGTGCATGAGGCATATCATCACACCATCAAGGTAAGGGCTGTGGAGGCTACAGTTCTCCTAGAGGAACACCCGCTATGTGTACACCTGCAGGTAGAGCAGCAGAGAGCTCCTACTTCTAGGGGGTAGCCAGAGATTTTGTATCAAAGCCCAGATCAAGCACTTAAGCAGGGGCCTCTGACATTCTACCTCTGGCACTATGAATGGGTGTTGAAAGGATGCTGGAACCTTTAGGCAAATAGTCCTGCTTAATGACATTCTCACACTGAAATAGGCAGTCCCAGAACTAACCTGAATAAAATCTGCTTTATAGAAGTTATCAAATTACAGGTATTGGTTTAGGTCACCAAAACCCCAGTGGGAAGACACAGAGTAACAGATTCACATAACCTACAAACTACATTATCTGGCTAAACCCAGTTGTATGCAACTGGTTTTGATCACTCTCCTACTTTGGAAGTACCCAACAGCCATATCTGCACACAGAAGTGCCTCCCCTCTGCCAGCTGGACCTGCTGCCTCTTCCCCAGGCACCATTATACCAGCACAATGGCCTTTGACTCCCCAGTGAGGTTTGGGCACCCTTCGAAGCATCCAGGAGCAAGAAACAGGTCACACCCCCAGGCATCCCTGAGCGTTGCCCACTCCCTGTCTGAATGGCTCAGTACTCAGCCAGGAGTGGCCAGGGTGCTGCTGGGCCCCCTTGGACACCACTCAAGTGGCCCCAGCAGTAAAGTCAGTAAAGGGTAAGGGTGGCGCAGCATGGCCCAGATCTGCCTGCCCTGTGCTCGCTGGTACACAGGGAGGGTTTAGATGCTCCAGTTGGCTGGAGCATACACTGCTCCCCAGGTGCCTGCTGCATAGTCATAGTCCTCAGCAGTGCTGGCACTCACCTCCCACACAGCCACAAATGCTGCTTAATGAGGGAGACCAAACCCACTAAAGCTAATGACTCCCCCATACAATGCAGGCAGGCTATTTGGTTTCCTTGCTACATCGAGCTAAGGACACTGAAACTCTCATTCTTCTGAAGCAACAAGCATGGACTTCAGAGAGAAAAGGGAGCTGGGCCATTGCTTAGTTTGAGTCACTGCCATACCCATTTCCATAGGGAAGTCTCAGGTTTGGGTGGTGTAGGTGGAGAAGGTGGTTTGTGAAGAAGCTGGCCCTTATGAAACACCAGGTAACTCATCACTTCAACTGAATAAATCTTCCTATTTCTGCACAGAAAGGCTCACGTTCCTATAGAAGTCACGTATTTTGGTTGCAGCATGCCACACTAGGGAGAGCTGTTTGAGTAACTGTTAAAGGACCCCAGCATTGCTTGAACAGAGACTGCATAGGGAAGAGGGCTCTCTGCATGACAAAGCCGCTTACCTGTGGAGCACCTTCCTGGCCCCCAATAACCCACAGTCCAGGAATCACAAACAAAAGGTGTCACCCTCTAGTAAATGAACTTGAAGACTGGAACTTCCCCACCAAAACCATCCAGGCTGAGAAGGGAGGTCTTATAGAAAAAGCAGCCAGAAACGTCATTTAGAGAGTGGGATTTGAGAAATGTCCTGTAGCCTGGAGGATGCCAGCCACACCATGCATCAGGCAGCCTCTGCCCAAGGGAATGTGCTCCCTTGCAGCTGCAGGGAAGGCTGGAAAGAAGGAGGCTCAGTACCACAGGGGAAGCCATGGGTAGCACCGTGGGGCCTGAAGGACAGGACTGAGCCATCTCAGCAGGTCCCCTCCCTAGCAGGACCTACAGCTATCCTGGGGTAAGGCTGAGGAGATGGCAAGTGTTTTTCTGGGGAAAGCCAAACTGGCAGGAAGTGTACCCTGAACACACCTATGTGTACAAAGCACTTCTCTTTGAGAGCAGCCAGGTTGCCCTGAGGTTTTTTGACTTCATTTCTTGCCTACAGGCACAAGTATGAATTCCTACACAGTGGGATGACACCAGACATCAGAATTACTCTCCCTCCCAGGAGGATTGGCATCCTGCTGGACTATGAGAACTGCAGATTGTCGTTTTTCAATGCAGATATTGCCCAGCACCTGTACACATTCAACTCACACTTCCAGCATTACGTCCACCCCTGCTTTGCTTTGGAAACACCTGGTATCTTACGGATACACACTGGAATTGCAGTACCCCCATGGACTGCCCTCTCATAACCTGCGTTCTACAGCTACCACACCTACATGTAACCTGCACTGAGCAATGTCCTCTTCCAGCATTAACTGCTCCATCACACTCCCTATAAGCCAGCTGTCTCCCAAGATCAAAGCAACCCTAACCCACACCAGCTGCCAGGCCTAAGCACTTAAAATTTCTGTCCTCTTGGGCAGGATCTTAGCAGAAAACCATTATGGTCACAATTCCATCAGCACCCCAGAACTCCCCGGTTGGAAATGGATACCGTCCTTCTCAGACGTGACACTGTCCCCATGCAGCAGTGGCAGCTGGATCAGTGGTTCCCCCAGTGCCCACCTGATGCCTAGCGAACCCCCTGTTCCAGAGCAATCCTTAATTCCACTCCTGTGTTTGCTGAAGAGCTAAAAATTCAAGGAAAACCAAAAATAGCAAAAGGCGTAATCCCTGTACAGCTGCGAGACCGCGCCGAGAACACTCCAACCATGAAGCTGATTCACAACCAAGTATTCTTGTTGCTACATGAAGTCTGTGACACAAGATAATCAAATACGCCTCCCCAGTGTGTGAACCGTTAACGCCTACCACACACAGGGAGGCTTTTTGACAAGCACTCAAATAATAAAAGACATTTTTACAGAACGCCCATGCCTCTACTTCATTCACTCAAGGAGAATACACAAAACAAACCAAGGCCTTTTGCAGGGGACCCTGATGCTGTGCCCTTGAAGCTTTGGGTGTCCCATGCAGGCTGGAAGCTCTGGCCCAGCACACAGCTGCAATGCGCTTGCTTGGGCTTCACTTCCAGACACCAGACTATCAGACGGTCAGGCTTGTCTAGCTCTGAACAGCCTCATTCGTGAATGTCAAAACTACCTGATTTCAATCAAGAGTCATTAACAGAGAAGCTTTTTCACACATTTATTGCACATTCACTACAAAAATCATTGGTTCAAGTTTCCATTCTAGAGGATGGTTGGGCACACAGCCTCTGCAATATACGAGGTCTCTTCCAGTGTACTCAGCCTGGCAACTGAGATTTGATGTAGAACTGCGTGCCAAAAGCTCGTCTGTTGTTCCCCAAATAGCTTAAAAACATGTCCCCAAAACAGGCTTTGCAGAAACCATAAAACCAGGAGTTAAACATGCATTGTGTAGTGACCACTACTGTCTTCTCTGGGGTATGTGTTTGTTTCACAAGCCTCTAAAGAAGATCGGTTTGGTGACCCTGAGCCAGGCAAGTACAGGGTCATTTCTTAGTCTACCAGCATTCAGAGATTTCCAGGGCACAAAGGGTTATCCTGGTCAGTGTGTCAGACCCCCTCAAAGGCAGGCAATAGCCTGCAGCTGCACTGGCTTTCAGCCACAACAGCTGGTGTCCACCAGAAATGCGCGACTCCACCAGCAACACCCACCGATGCAGAGGGCAGGAGGTGGCCCTGTAAGCCCTGCTGACAGCGGCAAGGCTGTCACTGGCTTAAAGCAAGGCTGCCTTTAAGCAAGGCTGGCATTGCTTAAAATGTATGCCTTGATTCAGGGTCCAACTTCCACCCACTGGAACATGTTTACCTTTATCTGCCCAAAACCATGTGCCGCACTCTTCAAGCAGGTATCTGAAAGAGTACGATACACAAGTATCAGTGCAGAGCTAGGAGGATGTCTGATCCTCCCAACGAGCCTTGAGAAGTGAACCCAACAATTCTGATGAAAGCAGATGTTCTGCTGTGAGCAGTCCCACCAGGCCCCACCAACAGCTTTCACCTCCACTGGGAGTTCACAACCCTCTTGCTGGACTGCTGCAAAGACAGATTTCCTGAGCCAAATGTGAGGTGCCTGGACACACTTGGGAGTGGGACTACAGGTACCAAACAGCTCTGTCACTACATTACCAGCTTGATGAATCTCCTGGAGGACAGAGGTCTGAAGGCTGAGTGTGGAGCAGCTGGGTCAGCAGAACATGTCATCACCTGCCATGGTACAGGACATTGACAGCAAAGCAGGACTATCTGTGAAAGGAACACATAAGCAGTAATTGGCTACCAGGTTGAAAACAATAAGGGAAATGAGTTGGCATGTTTCAGTTTAATAAAAGCTTCACCTCTCAGCAGCAACCCAAGCACTTCCTCCCTTAGGAATACCAGCCCTGTCACTTAAATATTTGGACAGCAGAGGAAAAGGCATGAACAACCTTAACTTTTTAAAACCAGCTGTCACTGTATTTTAAATAAATTCTTTACAGGGAGGCCACCACTTCCACTACAAGGTCTGTTGGTCAGAGCAGTACACCCAAGCTGGGTGTTCATCTTTCTGTGTAGTCCACCAGACAGGGGTAAGTGCTGTACATCTCTGAATAAGAGCCAAGCCTGCACAGAACTGGAAATAGTATTTGACAGTAAAAGGGGATTCCCCTACTGAAGCTGAACCACTGTCTACAGGCACTCTGGCTCACTGCTGAACTAGATCATATGGAAGCACAAGAACAAGTTAAAAACGAGTTGTCCTTGTCTCTGACAGCGAGTTATGTGCTGCAAGATGCATTTTTCCTAGTACCTGTCAGTGTTTTTTTCCCCTTGCTCTTCACTACATGTGTTTACTGGCACAAGCATCCAGGCAGGGCTGGCAGCAGCAGGAACTGCCCAAGGGTAGCCCCAACAGCTAAGCAGGTGCTTTGCCAGGGCTGGCTGCCCAAAGGCCCCTGGGCTTTGAAGGAGTTACCCTCAAACCTCTTTTGGGTGGACACAAAAGATGACTTTCTCCAACCCCTTTCTGCTCCCTGTTGATTTAAAATACACGCTGTGGCCACTGGAGGGCACCACACGAAGCCCTTCCACGAGGCTGCACGGCTAATCGGACAGGTCTATATAAACCATAGGGCCGAAGGGATGGGTACAGCTTCCAAACTCGTTACCATAATCCTTCAGCGTGTCCAGCGCCACTCCTCACCCAGCCCTGGAGGCGGTAACAAAGGGACCCACGGGCCTGTGAGCGAAAACATGCAGGTAAGACACTGTCAACAGCACAGATACAGCAGGCAACACAACAGCCCTGAAACTCGGTTCCGTGTGTTCAGTTCAAACCAGACACACCACTTTCTCCAGAAACGCCCGAGCTGTACCTTGCTCCCTCTAATTACCGTTAAAACCTTGTAGGTAGACGAAGTAGGTCCTGACTTTCTCTCACAGGCAGGCCTTGTTCCTCCACCATTTAGTGTAGGAGGATAGTATCAGTGGAGTCAATATAATGTCACTGGCTCCACTTTCTTAGTCCTCCAGGTATCTCCGTAAGGAATTCCTG